TGGTGCTGGGCTGCCCAGGAGCTGCCACACACTTACCCGCTGGTGAGTGCACATGGCCAGACATCCACAGGGAAGAAATGCATCCTCTGAGGGAGATGCAGGCGCTAGGCCAGGTATCCAGCCTGCTGGAACTTAGCAGTAGAGGCTCGTACTGAACTGGGAAGGATTTTATTTTCAGTCTCCCTCTTTTTTTTCTTCATAGAGTTTTCTGCATTGAAGCAGTCCTGGGGCAAAACTTGTGTCCTAAGGCAATGGAAAACTACGTCGCGTCAATGGTGCTGAGCGCAGTTGGTGACACACTGGGCTATTACAACGGGCAATGGGAGTTCCTGCAGAGCGGCCCAGCCATCCACAAGCAGCTGGCGGAGATGGGGGGACTGGGCAACTTCAGCATCCAGGGTTGGAAAGTCAGCGATGATACAGTGATGCACTTGGCCACTGCTGAAGCCCTGGTAGCTGCTGGGAAAAATGCAAGTTTAGCCCATCTCTATACCTTAATTGCAAAGAACTACAAGGAGTGCATAGATGACATGAAGGGCAGAGCTCCAGGTAACCCCTCCATAGTACTGTCTGGGCAGGGCTGTCCTCTTGCTAATATCTCTCCCTTTCCTGCAGCTTGGAGTTAAGGCTGGCCCTGGCTCTGCTTTTGGCCTTTTGTAGTGTTAACTGTATTACATATAAAGGCAAAAGTTTTCCACACTCAGTACCTGTTTGAGCATGAGTTAAAGAGAACAGAATAAGGCAAACTGAAATGGTTTGGGCTTCTCTGAACTAGATGAAAAAGAGATTGTTTTGCCCATGTTTACAAAACATTCTTACAAGTGTGTTTGAGGCCTCGCCTTGAACTCAGGGGAAGCATGCTGGCTTTTGCGCTGGGGATGTGTGTTTTCTTACACTCAATGGATGAAAAACACAAATTCAGCCATGTATAATGCACACCTTGAGATGCTGTGTTAAAGGAACATGTTTAAACAGAGAATTAATACAGAACTTCTCATAATAAATGCAAGAAATGACACATAAAATATATTTAAAGGCACAAAGATCCTTGCTTGGAATAATTAAGTTTGTTAAACCCAAAGTCTGCTTCTGGCTAGCTCTACATGTCTACTTTCTGTGACAGGACAGTCGGGTCACAGTCATCTTCTCTGAACCCTATACTTCCATCATCTTTCTTTGCGTAGACACAATGGTGCAGAGTTCAGGTTACAGGCAGCAGGGACTGGCAGTATTCAGGAAGGGCGCCTTGAGAGGCTGCAGTAGCCAAGCTGTGTACAAGATATTCCTGTAGTTCCTAGTTCATTCAGGCCTGCTGACCCAGCTCTTCCCCAAGGAGCCCATCTGCCTTTGTGCTCATGGCTCAGCCTCTTCTGGATGCTTGAATTAAACTTAAATTGGAGCTACTGAGGCTGACCCTCTAATTTGACTAGTGCAGGCAGCGTGAAGTATCCAGAAAACACTCAACTTCAGCAATCCTATGCAAAGTTTATACATCGAAAAGAAATTGCCTAGACATGCCTATTCATAGTGGCCAGAATATATCAAGAATGTTCTGGCTTGACATTAAACATGGGAAAGGCCAAATCCTGGATTGTTCTCTTAGAGCCACTGAGCACAGTGTGACAGAGCTCTGCATTTCCAAGGTAAACAAGGTTAGAAACTCGAGCAGGAATTTAGTCTGCTTACTTTTCTAGAGTGATCTCCTACCCTCATGTAAAGAACTAAACTATCACTATTCTAAACACAGATAGTCTCAGTTGTTGGAGTAGCCTAATTAATAAAATATTTAGGAGATGCTTGCCAGGATAGCAGGAATCATCTGGTTAAACTTCCTAGAGACTCACTGCTATTTTGGCAAAGGAGCATCATGTAGTTCCCCCAGCTAATGGGGTCTGCCAAGGTGGACTAACCACAGCTGGCAGTGAGACAGCACCTGGAAGCTATTTTTGCCTCCACTATCTAAGCTTGGTGACTAAAACCTGAGATGAAAAGGAGAAGAACCTGAAATTTAAGTGTTTGTAATTCATAGGTAAGGATAATAGCACACCTGCTGCAGTCCTTCTGTGAGTAACTGAGCTGCGATATGCCCGAAAGCGCTTCCCATTTGGAGGTGAAAAATTTTGAAGTAAATTTGCTATGGATACTAATCGGAGTGACAAGGAAAGGTCAGGTTATCTAGCTAAACAAAGAAATGCATCTTCTTTAGTGGGTCCATGGGCACTTAACCTTGTGGAGTTTTGAGGGAAGTGGGGAAAGTATCGTGGAAAAAAATGGAAGTCTGTTGGGAACATTCTTGCAGCAGCATTCTGGAGTGCCCCTGCTGCAGCGACAGGAAAGGCACTTGGCTCCGAGAGCTTAAATCCTGACACGTAACAGTTTAATGCCCACTGACCTGCTACCAAAGGGAATAGCTAATCCATATCCCGAAAAGCTGAATGGGGTCTCCATGCCATATTGATAAATCTTAACGGTAGAAGTTGCACGTCAATAACTTCTTTTGGCAGTTCAGAGTAAATGGAGTTTCACTGAGAGCATAACCCAAGGTGATGGAGTTCTGGCCAAAGGATGTACTCACTGTGGAGTTACAGCCCTTAAGGCTGAGAATGGAAAGTTGCTGCTGTGACTTTCACCTGACAGAGAAGAGATTCCCCTAGAACAGTGGGGGAAAGTCACGTTCGCCCACACAAGGGAGTCCAGACCTGAAAACCAAAACCCGCAGTAACAAAGGGATTCCCACAACGTTATGAGTCATCAGGCGGCCTCAGCAGGGTCCCTCAAGTATGCAGCTCCAGGAGAGAACTCACTATCTTAATTCAATGGCAAATTAATCCCTACTTCCATTATTGCTATTTGTGATGTGTGGCAGCCCCAGATTCATTGTTTTTTGCGGATAACAAAGCCAATGAATTACGCAACACAAGCATGGACATACTTCTTTTTTCATGGTACAACTACATCTGCCCCCACAGCTCTCCAGGAAACCTTCTGCTTCAAAACTCTGTCTTTTGGTCCAGGTCCTCTCCTTGTGGAATTATGTACCACTATGTCATTGTTTTAGCTTACCTTTTCTGTGCGTATTGATCGATCCCAAACAACTGTTACTGCTTGTGCTCATGAGGAGTCTAAATAAGTGTAATGGAAGCCTGTTCCACAAATAGCATCCAGTCATACTTGAAACTTTTTCAAGTTGTCTTTCCTCACACACTGCTTTTCGCTTCTATGTCTTCTTTCCTTAGACCAGGACCCTCCACAGGTCACTTTTAGCTTCTTATTGTTAATACAGAGGATTCCTAACCAGGATTTGGTGGATTTCCAAAACAGAATTTCCTGATTCAAAAATGCCTACAGCAGGTTTGTTTTTTTTTTTTTAAACCTGCTTTTTAAAAAAGACCTGACAATGTGATTTCAGCTTAGTCTTCCTAAATCGGCTTTCAAATGTTTTAATATTTTAACTGTTTAAAAGCACAAGGGTAATACTTGTAATACTGCATAAATCACAAGAGTCTTAGCTGTTATGTACTCGTTTGTTTTACACAATTTTTTCCATTTGCAGGTTATCAGTCGTTATCTCCTAAAGTAATATGCACAGGCTTAAAGCTGCAAGCAAATTGTATTGCAAAACAACCAGTCTTCCTTTGCAGTTTAAGCCTTTTGACTACAGTTAATGCAAGAGCGATCTCACTTTTTATCAAGGACTGAGTTGCCTGGTCTCAATCTGCCCAAACATATCCTGAGGAAATGTCTTTCTCACAGTTCCAGCAAGGTTACAGAGTTGGTTTTGCTTTTGTTATGCAGATATTAAGCTACCCTAGTCCCTTTGCTCTCTCCCCTTCCCCTTGTCTTCCTGGCAGAAGGTGTGTTTATCAGAAACATACGAATAGGGCAGTCGGGACAACTTTTTAAAAACGTGGCTTTTTTTGACAGGTTCTTTTTAATGTCCTGTTACAGGTCACAATGCTTAGTATAGTTAGATCTTTGAAAAAATGCCTCAGTTTTCTGTTAATCATCATAAAAGTTGGAAATTATACTGATATCCCTCTTAATGATTTTGATACATAGCGGCCAGCCCTGAATTGATAAACTACACGAAAAGCAGATTGAGAGGCCTGAACACGTTCCCACTTTGAGACATCACAAAACCGAACTCCCAGGCAGTTTAGTTAGAGGTCAGTGGTGATCCGTCCCGGCAGAGCCTGGTCTGATCTACTGGGAAGGGTGTGATGGTGGTGTCACGCGAGGGGCTGGTGTGCCGGCACAGCAGGCGTGGATGAGGCTGGTGAGATAGCAGGTCTAGTTCATGCCTGGGTCACGATGTATGGAATTCATGAGAGCTAAAGTGGCCTGATGCTGTGGGCTGCGCTGATCAGCAGCCCGTTTTCTTCTGATGGCCATTTCCATTCTCAATGTCCATTTCAGCTGATGGGCTTGCGGGGCGAATAGCCTGACAGCCAAAGGACTGAGCTGCTTTTTGGGTTTGAGACAACCGTTCAGGGGAGCTGGTCCACCCGTTCACACTGTGCAGAGGGCTCTATCCTGCGCTGACCTAATAAGCCTGTAATGGAACAACGCTGTTGGAAAAGACAGACACTAAAGACACTTAGACTAGCATGTGACTTTATTCCTGACAGTGGCCAGCCATTATCTATTTTTAGCATCTGTCCAGAAGCCAATCTTATAGCTGGGCTTGGATATGGAGGTATGTCAGTTACAAGGGTGCTGGAAATGCCGTGTGCAGGTAAACTAGACTGCCATATACCAAATCCTGCTGCCAACCATGTACGTGAAAGTGCAGAAGTGGAGCTCTGCAGAGGACTTGGCGTGGTACCTAACTGTGATTAGCAAGGTCCCAGGTCACGACGATTGAACTGCAACAAAGGTAATTGAATTGTAGAGTTAGGTGAAGTTTCTTGACCAGGCTTCTTCCTTGCTACTCTATTCTGTGTAGTTTGAGTTTCGGAGTAACAGAGCACCTGCAAGTTTACCAGCTACCTGTCCCAGTTAGGCAGCAAAGTGTAGGAGCAATAGTTAGTTTTGGGTGTGTGAGCATGTCCACTGCTGCTGTTACCCTGAGTGTCTGAGAGAGGACTGGGCATGCTGTGGTTAGGAGGAGACTAGTCTTTTGAGTCCACTTTTGCTGTTGTCCAGCACATGAAAACTTAAATGAAGCTGCTTGAAACCAGCCCTTGATTTACCTTTCTGCTGGAAAAGAAGTATTTCAGATTTGGCCAGAAGAGAAGAGTAAGAGAAAAGAGCAAGGTAGAAGAGAACTAAAGATCATTTAATGTTTCAAACCTGTTTCCTCTTCCTTGCACACAAGCATTTGGGCTTAGCTTGCAAAACATCTTTCACGGTTTTGACTGGGGAAGCTGGCTGGGCTCTGAAATTTGGATGTGTTTGTGCAGATGGCTTTATCCTGTGAACGTGCTGGACTAACAAGTGAGTTTCTGAAGCAGCAGCACTGGAAGAAGCAGAGGCATTTCTTTGAAAAGTAAATAGCAGGACTATGAAAGAGAAGGAGGTGGGCAAGGAGTTGTGGTGTGACTTCCCACTACAAGAGGCAAAATTGGACTAGGCTGTCCGCTCGGAGCAGGAGAAAACTGAGGAAGAGGGACAAAGTGTATATGATCTTGAATAGTGTGGAGCGTGAAAAGTTGTTATTTCTTGTAATGTAAGAATTAGAGGGGAATTTAAGCAAATTGTCAAATGACAGTTTAAAGCAAAAGGAAATGCTTTGCTTAACAAAATTGTGGCTCTGGTTACCATAGGATGTTAAAGGAGTCTGAAGGCATGCAGGGGTTCAAGCTAGGGAGACCAGTTCATGGAGGTGAGGTCCGCTGGAGATTACTGAACACACCGCTTTGGATCCATCTTCTGACTCAAGCAGGCTGTGCTCCTCTGTCTGCTGGAAGCCAGGCGGGTCTTCTTGGGGAAACATTGTACTTGCCTCGTTTCTTAATAGTCTTTCTGTAGTTATCTGTTAGTGGCTGTGTTTGGGCTGGACAAACCTTTGGCCTTGCCTCGCGCAGTTGTTCTTCAGCGTATTGAAGAGGCGTACGGTAAAGCCAGTTACTCAGACTGTGTTGCAGTGAGGGAGATACTACATTCATCGTGTTCTGACAGACTTAAACTGCAGCAAGGGAGAGCTGGAAAACATTTTCTATCAGTGAGGCAATGGGAAAGATTCCTGAGGAGCTTGTGGGGTCTCTGCCTTTAAAAGGCGCTGTAAAGAGCGTAAACAACTAAAAAAGCAGAGGTACTTGGCCTTGCCTTGGGTCAGGGATCCTCCAAACCTCCTTTCTGTTTCTATTTATAAATAGCTATCTAGATAGCTGTGTACATAATATACCTAATATACATAGTATGTATGTTGTATAGATAGGTTATTAAATAAATAACATGAAATGTAAATATAAACAATGTAAATAAATCAGCAGTGGAGTGCTTCTTACACCCCTAGATTTTTATTTTCACAAACAGGTATTATCAGGGCTGCTTGCGAGGAGGCAGTGTATGTATGCGAGCAGACAACTGATGTTTCTAAAGGGAAGCTCAAATCCCTTACGCAGAGTAATGCTTCCTTCCCCACTACCTTGCCTGTCTTCCCTCGGTTCCCAAGCTACGTGACCCTGCTCTCCTACTGATGTGTGTTTCTGTTTCTGTTCTTTCTTGGGCTCTGCTGCTCCTGTCCAGGTGCCACGTGTAAGGAAAATGTGTTGAAGCTGGATCCGGGGCGGCCGGACGGCTGGAGGATCCCATTCAGCCCCCGGGCGGGAGGCTGCGGGGCCGCCATGCGCTCCATGTGCATCGGGCTGCGTTTCTGCCACCCCGCTGAGCTGGACACACTGGTGCAAGTCAGCATCGAGAGTGGCCGAATGACCCACCACCATCCCACCGGCTACCTGGGCTCCCTGGCGTCGGCCCTCTTCACGGCTTTTGCGGTGACCGGCGTGCCCCCACTGTCCTGGGGGAGGGGGCTGCTGGAGGTGCTGCCACGGGCGAAAGCCTACGTGCAGGACAGCGGCTTCTTCGTGGAGGAGAACATGGGGCAATGGTGAGCTGCGCTCCCAGCACCGGGTTTTGTTAAAATGAAAATAAACCTCATATACAAGAGGGCAAGTTTACACTTAAACTTCAGTAACCACATTATGGTAAACTCCTAGAGCAGCACATCCCTGCTGTGGGATCAAATCGATTCAGAAAGTCTCTGAAGTCCACTCAAAAAAAGAAAAATAAAAAAAGGGCAGATTGTGCTTGGGTCCTGTAGGTGTGACTTTTTTTTGGATCCAGTATGAGGCAGCTAGACTTGTCATCTCAAGCAGTCGTGACCTGATGAAAGGTGGGAAGCAGGGCTGGGGAACAGCACCAGGCTTAAAGCTGAGCTCAGTTTGAAAGTTATAACCAAATGCGGCTGCAGATTCAGTGTGGCTCTGTGCGCAGGGGCACACACAGGCAGTGGTGGAGGTACTCTGAATTTGGGAGGATGACTCAGTTCTCACTCTGAGCCTTTGAATCCTGTGCAGCGCGACAGCAGCAGGTGTTGGCCTGCCTTCTCCCATGTGGCTGGAGGGAGGGGAAATTAACTCACTGAAACATGTCCTTGTGCCTCTTACTGTAAATCGTGTCCCATGTTTGACAGATGAGGGACGCCTACCATTTTGCTGAGCCATCACTCCGGGCTCTTGATGTGGCACGTCCTCAGCTGGCGCCCGGTGTGCCTGCAGGGAGCTTGGGTATATGCTGCTGTTGTGGGACGCCTCTGACAGCCCCTCCCTCCCATCTTTTGCAGGCATTACTTCCAAGAGCAATGGGAAGGATACCTGGCGGAGAGAGGCCTATCAGACGGAGTCTCGCCACCCACCTTCCCCGCCAAGTATGGCGTGGAAGAGAGAGACTCGTTCTACACCTCTCTCAGCTACGACGGCTGGGGGGGCAGCAGCGGGCACGACGCCCCCATGATCGCTTACGACGCGCTGCTGGGCGCAGGGGGCTCCTGGGCAGAGCTGGCTCACCGGGCTTTCTTCCACGGGGGAGACAGCGACTCCACCGCTGCCATCGCGGCCTGCTGGTGGGGGGCCATGCACGGCTTCCGGGGGGTCCCACCCTCCCTCTATGCCCACCTGGAGTACAGGGACCGCCTGGAGCAGGTGGCCAAGGACTTGTACCGCATCACCTAGGTGGGGGTGGGGGTGGCAGGGCCCCCCAGGAGTAACGCTTGTCCCACCTGCCGCCCCTCACTTACTTGAGGTGCAAACTCGCTGGATTATGCAGGCGTAAGCTGGAGCCAGGCTTTTCTGTTTGTGTGTTTTGGCTTCAGTGGGGAGGCCGTTTTGGAGGTAGCAGTGTAGGGCTTGTGGGTGGGTGGGGAAGCAGTTACAAGGTGATTTGATGGGTGTACACAATGGTCCCTGGAGCAGCCAAGCCCCGAGGCATCACTCCTTGGCGGGTGGACCAGGGC